CCTGGAGGTTAAGTAGTTTTTATTCACCAGTGGCTCTCCAGCCCTACAGTGAGCTCAGGCCTTGGGGGTCTTGACCTGCAGTTCTCATTGCTTTGAATGTTTTTTCCCTGGACATTCCTCCCGTCGCAGAACTCTGCCTACATAGAACCACCTCAATCCTTGTCCATTCTGTTTAACACAACTTCCCCTCCCCACTCCCTCAACCTGCCTTACTTTGCTTCACCTGAAATTACCTCATATGTTTATCTTTTTATGTTCATTTTTTACCTGTTTATTGCTTGTCTCCCCCTAGTAGAACATAACCCCCTTGAAGGAAGTGATTTGTCTGCGGTGTTCATTTTGTGCCACAGTACCTAAAACAGGACTTAGCCATAGTTTATGCTCAATAAACATTTGTAAAATGAATAAAGTCATTGCGTGAAAAGTGTTTTCTGTATGGTAGGAAGAAAGGAAGGATAACAAATGGCAAAAATGAAAGAAGGCAAAAAGGAAAGAAGGAAGAAATAGAGGAAGGAGGAACCATTCTCTTAGAAATCTAAAGTGGTTCCTCCTCACATTAAACTTAGGGAACTGTTGGTCTACACTAGAGCTTCTTTTTGTCCCCATCATCTTTGAGAGAAAAAGACAATGAAAATCAATGGCCCGAAAGAGTCAGAAGACATTGATGCCAGTTCTGCTCTGCCACGGTGCCAAGTTCCTTATACAATGCTCTCCTCTGGTCTAACCAGGGAACAGGGCCGGATGGTCTCTAACATTCCACTCACTACTAAAATTCTATGATTCTAAACTTTTAATTATGAAATGTATTTGCTTTCTCTCTATTGCCAGATCCTAAAATAATTATATGGAAGATGTAGATTCAACTTTTAGGTAAAATAGCTTAACTGAGAAGTGCATAACAGAATTAATATTTTGTTTTAATTTTTATAAACTTTTTAAGACAAATATATTGATTTATATAATATTTTCATATTTATGTTATTTGTACAAGTGGTATATATATGTCATATATAATATATTATATAAAACATTTACATAATATATATTAGAATAAATATTTATAAATAATGGGCATAATTTAAAGAACTTTGTGAATATAGAAAGGTCCTTGAAGATAAACTGCATTCATGTAATTCTTTCTATCAAGTATATTTATTCAGATATTTGAACAAGTTTGAATTTCGGCTATAGAAGAGGGTCTCCCCTCCCTCCCCCACCCTGTTGTAAAATTTAGTGTGGATACATTTAATGCATCTACTTAAAATTGATTCTCCACACAAGACTGTCTGCAACTTTTTGTTGCCTTTTAGAAGTTTCTTCTCTTAACCATCTATGTTTAATCATGGATTAAAAAGCAAGGGACCTGAGACTAGGTCCCAGTTTTAACACTAGCTTTTAAATTGATTATTTTTATCCTGGTATGATAAAAACAGTATTCCTAGATCAGTGATTCAAGACCTTTTCATACTTCCACTTTTAAAAAGTAGAACTTCTTGGGATATTTTGATTTATATGATTTTTTTTCTTGTGTCAGAAAAGGCAAATTATATTTGGGAGGCAATGAGAGCTTATTGAGCTGTGAATATATCATGTAGAACATGAAAGATAGTAGCAACTCACAGACTCACACACTTACACAGGTGTCTTAAAGACTCCCATTGGACTGAAAAAGATAAATGCTACCATTATCTTTATCTTTATTATTGGTAAACAGGGAGTTGATACTATCTCTAAAAACCATATCCCTTAACTTTATTTCTGTTGGAATTCATTGGTATAATTAAAACCTGAATGGACTGAAATATTTCAGGAACCTGAAGTAACACTCTTTCCTTTATCTGAAAATGCAGTTTTATTTCATCTGAAATTGTTTTCTATTATTTCTCCGTCCACCCACAAATGACCTTCTTTTTATACTTATGGATATACTCACTCACGAACCTGTGGACTATATGGAAGTAAGAGAACACATAATGTCCTCCTGTCACTGAAGGAATATCAACAATATTCTAAATGGGGAACTATTGGTTTTTTAGTAATTTCTACAATTTGAAATGTAGTTAGGATGCTGTTGGTAGTTGAAAACTGACAGCATGATTTATTAATATTATTAACATATGATCTGGTGTTTGTCATAGTGCCTTAAATTTTTAAATGTCATTATTCATGTTATAATGTTATCAATAATAATAAATTAGGCTAAACCAGGGGCAGTGTAGTTTTTTCTTTTTTTTTTTTGGCAGTATAGTTTTATACCACAATTTATTTTGACTCATTTTTGAGTTCTAGATTAACCACTGTTTTAAGAGTCTTCTTGGCCATTCCTTTTCTTTTTTTCTAATGTAAAGTAACATTTTTTCTTTTCCTTGTCATTTACTAGGATGGTTATTCTACTCTTTCTAATGTTAAAGGATCTTTCTTATATTTCTTTGTATTCTGTTCAGTGGAGGAGAAAATTTGTCTCAGTTTCAATTTCTCTTCTGTTCCCAGAAGTTCTCCCCTCCTCCAGTGCTGAAGTAGAAAAATAATTTTCCCTCTTGCACGATAAACAGATCAAAGTCCTGTTTTTCACCATGTTGCTCCAAATAGCAAACCCATATGAAAAATGAAAACCAAAGCTATAACTTGGAAGTTGACAAGGGTCTGAGAACAATTGAAAATAAATTTCTACCTCCAGGATTAGCTCTTAGTGGTTCATTGGTCATTCTGAGGAGAGGGGCACGGAAGCCGGCCAAGGCTCCAAGCTAGCAGCAGATGCAAACGTGGCTCAGCTCAGAAGTCAGGCCTCGGTTGTCATAGAGAATGGGAGGCAAACTGAAGAAATTAAAAGCCAAGTAGCAAACAATTCAGTAGGATTTGGGAGTCTCCTGAGGCTCCTCCCTTCCTCACTCCCTGCATGAGTCATTTTTCCAGTCTGTCCACACCCATCACCCTTCCACTGGCCACCACCTCACACTCCCATTCACCCTAAGTTGCTGCCACAGGAACTTACTGCCAATACAAGTCCAGACTCCCTCTACCGCCCTTGCTATATAAACTTTTCAGAGTAGAGTTGAGACTCGTTGGATTAACACAGACCTACTTTTAGCCTCATCTCCTGCTATGCCCCTGCATTCCCCTTCCCTTACTTCTCACAGAAAGGCTGGCAGGTCCCTTGTACATGCCCTGTTCTTTTCTCCACTCCACCTGGACTCAACTCCCTTATCTTGCTAACTTCTACCTACCTTTCAAGGCACCAGTTAAATATAATTCCTCCAGGAAGCCTTCCCTGACCCTTCTCACGGCTATCATGGGATTGCCTCCACCATTCTGCCACTTATCCCTCAGGCCCAATTAATTGGTTTATGTGTTTCTTCCCTAGTATCTATGTATTATCCCTGAGTACAGGGACTCTGTCTTATCCAGTCTTGCCTTGCTAGCATAGTAGTAGGCACTGGATGCAGTTGTCGAAATGAATGCTGAATAAGAAGAAAAGAAGTCCTTATTGCTTCGGTAATTAGTAATTGGCAGATAGAAAGTACCCATCCCTTGGCTGGGGCTTGGTGGCTCACACCTGCAATCCTAGCACTTTGGAAAGCCAAGAGGGAAGATTGCTTGAGGCTAGGAGTCGGAGACCAGCCTGAGCAACATAGTGAGATCCTGTCTCTACCAAAAAAAAAAGTACTCATCCCTGTTCTCTGAGAAAGTGTCAGTGTCCTTTCAATTTGCTTCAGCTGTCTGGGTACTTGGGTACTTTTTAGTGATTGACACTGAGAAGTGGCGCCATGTAATTAATTAATTAATTAGCTCTGGAAGGGATCAGTGCACAATATTAACTCAGTATTTTGTAGATCTAGCCAAAGGTCAAGAACTCAAGTCTGTTATTAGTGCCTCTGGAAGGTATTTTTGTACTTCAGTACCTTTTTGATATTTTTCCTTCTCAAGCCAGCTCCACCCTTTCTAACACAATCTAACACACCTGCAGAAAGAACATTGTACCATATCCAGCATTTTGTCCCAAATTGGGTGAAAAACATGGGACAAACGTTTTTTAATTAGAATCATCCTTGAACAAGTTATCGAAATTCCTTAAATGCGAAGGAAATCCTGCACCTAAACCTCCAAAACTTTATTACATCACAGAAGCTCCGGATACTTTCCATCCAAGGTAAAGCCAAATAACATAGCACCCAGGGAATTAGGATTTGGGGCTGTGGCTTATTTGTTCCTGAGATAAAATGGTTTATATGCCTAGAAATATTCCAGTATTTCAGAAAATAATATTTTATTGTAAAGAAGGAACTTTGCTTTCTATAAATCACATAATGCAGAGTTGGGAATACAGGGTTTTTTAAATTCCAAATATTATTTTCAAACTAGAAGGGAAGCTGGTATGTGTTTGTGTTTGTGTGACAATCAGTTTTATCGAGGAATTCCAAAACTGTAGACAGCCTGTTACTTGAGAAAGATACACACTGGCAGTCTTGCAGATGGTTTTCCCGCCCGTTAGCCCTCCAGGTTCAAAAACTGTGTGGCGCATTTTAAGGCGGCAGCCGCAGCAGACCCGGGGGTTTTAGTCTAATCTGATTCTAACCTTCAGTCTACCCTTGCCGGTTTCCTCGCAAAGCTCCATCCAAGGGCCTCTTTCAAAACGGACCTATTGGGGCGCCGACAGTCCGGAGGAGCAGTAAGTAGCGGGCTGCGTCCCATCTGCACTATAGCTGCGAGGTTATAATGTTGGACGCATAAGATGGAAGATACCAACGGGAGCTTGAGGGGATACACGGCGCCAGCGCCGGCTCTGGCTTCCATTTGCTCTCGGCGCCGACGGGCGAGCGGCGATGACCAGCCCTTGCAGACTTTGTTCGGCTGAGGGGCGACCGTGCGGCCGGGGTAAGAGCGGGAGGGCGCCGGCGGAAAGTTGAAGAGCGTTTTTTCTTTGCCGCGTGCGTTCTGGAGCTCGACGAGTCCGCCCCGGGCTTCCTGGTGGGGCTGGGCGGGCGGGGGAGGGGCCGCGCAGCAGCAGCGGAAACCAGACCTCGGCGATAAGAGGCTGCACAGCGACATGCAACAGTCTTTTCACTGCAGCTGAATGAGTTGTGGCGCTCACCATGCTCCCGTGACGAGGAGCTGACAAGTTCCATTTTCCATCGCGGGCATCTTGGAATCATGACTCCCACAATGCCTTGGGCCCTCGGTCGACAGTCGGGCCGCCTCTGAAAAAAATGTGAGAGGTAAGTTTGCGTTTTCACAGTTTCCTGCCGCTGCTCCGCCGCTCCTCATTGTTCGGACTCTTTCGGGACTGCCCGTGGCTGGAGGAGGGAGCGACGGGAGGGGCTCGCCGGCCGCCGCGCCGGGCGGGGGTGGCTCCCCGCGGCCGAGGGCTGCTCTCTCGCTCCGCCTCGCGCTCCGGGGGAGCGAGGCTGCGGCTGCGGCGCGGCTCCGGCGGCCGGTCCCCGCCTCGGGCGCTGCGGACACTGTCAGGCTCAGCCGGCTTACGGCTTGGCAGCCTGGAGAGACCGAGAAAGGAGGAGGGGGAGAGAAGAGAAACAGGTGCGTGGAAGTGTACTCACAACTTAATGACCTTTGTCGGGGGAAGGTGCGAGCCCATCCCGAGCGGGCGGCGCGCGGATCCTCCGGGCGGCTCCCGCATCCCTCTCCCCGGGGCTGCCATCCTGCCCGGGTTTCATCTGGGCCGAATATGTGCATGCAAAGGTTAATTCTCTGTCTGCTACCCATAAATTACGCATGACATGTTTAGCTGGGCTGCCTTATATGGAGAGTGCTGTATTTCAGTCCAGTTTGCCTTTTGCCAAGTTTACAGGGCGGAAGACGCCCTGCATGAGAGGGTTTCTTCTTCTTCTTCTTGGTTTTTTTTTTTTTCTTCATCGTTTTGTAGTGCGTCACTCAAAAACTGTAAGAAAAGTAAGTATAGAAGCTCTCTGGGTGGAGCCGCAGTTGGTTGATTGAATTGCTTTCATGAAAGATTGAAAAGAATGAAAAGTAGTTAGTACTTGGGTTCTGGTTTTTAGACAAAAGCAGGACAAATATGTAGCTCCCCCCCTTACACACCACTTTTTTTTTTTTTTTAAACGGAGCCGGAATCTGTTATTGGTAGTAATGTGTCATGTGAGAATACTTTGATTCCAGAGCCTGTAACACGAGCAGGTATATGGTGGAGCTTATGCCTTCACCTCTCACAGCACTTTACAACTACAGGGGTGTTGCTACAAGAGTGATTGTGTTCTTAACTCTCTCTGGGGCCCGGAGAATATGCGGCTGCTGGATTCTGTGGTGTACTTCCTTGAAGTCTACCTCCCCAGGATTAAAATTGAGTTAAGAAGCTGCCAGAAAGGTCATGGCCACTGTCTTTACCCTGTTTGCCCACCAGCCCAGGCACAAGCGAGAGTAAATGGATGGTGAACTGCCATACTCTGAGAAATTTCTTCAACAAATTAATACACCAAGAGAGAGATCATAATTAATGCTTTTAGATTTGCGGGCCCTCTGCAACATGCCTTGAAATGCTACACCAGTGGACACTGTGTTCTTCCCTCCTGGGTTTGAACACAGTGTTTGTTTACACATACAGGGCATTTAGTATATAACTATTCTATACCAGCATAAGTGATCCACTCCACAGTTCTCTCTATGTGGGCTCCTAAGAGCGTTGGTGTTTCTCCTTGTCTTGCTGTTTAGATAAAATATTATCACCCAGACAAAAAAATGAAAGTTGAACGACTGTAAAATTCATCCTAAGAATATTTAGTTCAATACTTAGAAAGTCTTTGATGTAGAGTTATAGATAGAGACACTGAATAAGTTATTTTGTAGCCTTTGAAAGAACATTGCTGTAACTTGTATCTTTGCTTTCTTAAAGTTGATGACAACTACTGCTTAAAACTGTTTTTTTAGGAAACCTACAGTGTTCCAATTTTCATCTGTTTTGTGTATTTGTATGGGGGTTACATTGTTTTTTTTTGATTTCTGTGTTGTTAGGTTTTCTTTCAAAATGTAGGCATAGTTTTTAATTTTATTTGTTTAATGGGGGGTTTCTTCACTACAAAAGTTGCCTTTTGTGTTTTAAAGAACAGGTTGGGTTAGCACCAGAAAACCTCTTCATCCCTCTATAATTATAGTGTCACTTAAGACATAATAATGAGGTTTTATTATTACTGAGAGACTCAGAGAAACCTCACATGTACCTAGTTTAATTTTTTCCTCATGCAGCTAAGAACAAATTTGTGTGTAGATACACATCAAGTATATTCTATGCAGTCATGCCAAAAGAGAAACCGAAGTGTTATATGATTTGAGATATTATTGCCTATGTTTACTTTTCCACATTTGAGGCAAAATTAGACTCCAAGTTGAATTCATTAGATTTTGATCCCAACATTCTGTTCTTCCTCTGGGCACAGAATTCCTATGAAATGAAACACTGGGTTTTGTTCCAGAACAAGAACAGACTATTCCAAAATTTTTCCTAGGGGAAAAAGAGGGTAAAATTGTATCTCTCATTGAGGAAGGGTGTGTTACTTTATTATATAAAATTTTCTATCTTCATTGTAAGCAAAAAAAAAGAGAGAAAGAAAAAGAATGCCCTTGCATTTGTCACTGTTCCTGTACATTAGGCCTGTATTTGATATTGCTATTTATGGAAACAGAATAAATAGCGTTGCTATACCTTCTGGCTTTCTGCTTGGTGATAGAAGATGCACAGATTAAGAGAGCATCTCAGCTCTTGCTTAAAAGAATAATAGGTGATTGGATTTTTTTACTCTCCAGGAAAAAAGGCATCAGGGTGGGCGCTAGATATGAGGGTCACAGGAGTAAAGGACAGAAGTGAAATGTGTTCACTAAATGATTGGCTCAATATAAAATCCCAACAGCACTATAGATCATAGAGAATGATTCATAGGAAGATTTTAAAGTGTCTGACCTTTTAGGCGAAAAAGGTTCATGTTTTTGGAAATCTAGAATGTGCTGTCCAGTACGGTAGCTACCAGCCACATGCGGCTATTGAGCACTTAAAATGTGGCTAGTCCGGATTGAGATTTGCTCCATGTGTAAAATACTACTGAATTTTGAAAACTTTCTACGAGGGAAAGAATGTAAAACATCTGATTAATATTTTTTATATTGATTATATGTTTTAATGATAATATTTTGGATAAATGGGTTTCAGTAGACTATCTTGTTAGAATAACCTCACCTGTTTCTTTTTACTTTTTTACTGTGGCTATTAGAAAACTTAATATAACAAATGTGGCTAACATCATATTTATATTGGGTATATTTATATTGTTCTAGAATAAAGCAGGAAGAGGGTATTCTAGGAGAAAGCTTAAAGAGTTTGCTGGTCAAAACAATAAAATCGACTTTTATTTATACAAGATAAAAGTTGTTTATTATATATAGAAATACCTTGTCTTTCTTATCCATTGTAACCAATATTTGAGAAAAAATACCACCTAACATCTATTTTTATTTCCTCAAAACTACTATTTAGTTTAGAGATTTAATGGTGAGGTAGTAATAGCAGAGAAAAGGCTTGTAATTAAAGGATGAGTCTTAACACCTCTCAAAGGCCAGAATAGAGTATGATTGTTACTTAGAAGCATTTTAGAGACACTATACTTATCATTGTCCTGTAGTTACCAAACACAAACAAGTCACTAAAATTTATTTTAAAATAGAGTTTTTAGTAAATAGTAATTATCTTCAAATGCTTAATATGTGTTTTCTTTTGTGATAACTTTCCTTCCTTAGAATATACGACACCAGATAAACCCAAACAAACTCCTGACCAAATGTTGATAAAAGATTAATGAATTCATGAGAAAAAAAGATTTTTTACCAGTAGACAATAGGCATTGTTTTGAATGTTAGGAAAGGTAAAATGCGTTTCTGTGGTAATGTTATGGGCTTTGAAGAATTTGTATACGCAGAGACGTCGTCTTTATAATTCGAAAACATTCTTGAGAAAGCATTTGACTGGTAAACAAAGCACAATGGCATAGGTCCTAGAAACATTCCTTTTAGATATTTTCATAACTGAAGTACATTTTGCCATGCACAGTGAGTGTTAAGCCGAAAAAATGTGGTTCTTTTCTAACCATATAAAGTATGCTTACTATTATTATCTTGAAGGATGCCAAAGATATAAGATGGATGAAGTGGGTTCTTTGGGGGGAGGTGGACGGATTGTATACAAAGCCTTAAGAAGAGTTGCCTCTCGGCTTGGTGCCATCTTGAATCTGTCTTCCACTATGTGAGGCATAGCTTCCATTAGTGTCAACGTGTGTGTGGAGGGTGAGGGGAAGAGTAATCCCTGTTAACTTTGTATATTGTTTCTGATGAGTCATGGAGCATATTCACTAATGGTTGGAGAACTATTGATTGCAAAGCAGAGGATTCATGAAGAACTATTGACATATTGACATATGGCATTAAGTGTCTCTAGACATATTTTATATTTTTAAGTTTGAGGTAGGGAAATTGGTCTTTATGTAGTGTTTTTCATATTGTGAAAATGTACATTTATATAACCATTGCAAATATATCCTTGAGAAAAAAACATAGCAAATTTATGATTACAGTTTTCTACATAATATTAGTGTTTTGTTTTTAATGTATCCACTACATCTCTTTCAGATAATAGTTCATGTTTTTAGAGAGGCATCTCATCACATGTGCCTTTGACATCTTTAAAGAATCTTTGAAAGATTTGTGTTGGAGTATTCCGTATTATGTGTTCACTACTTTTCCCACTATTTTTGAGGTCTTACTCTAGGTTTCTGTGATTATCCTTTGTTGAAACAATTCAGGATATATTAATCTCCAAATGAAATGTAGCCATATTGGACAGAGTAGAGAGTTACTTTTTTCCTGAGTTCAGTTATTCCAAAAGGGTGAAGATGTTTCTGAAATAATATACTTCAAGTAGTATGTGTGCTCTAAAGGAACAACTGTCATCTCTTTTAACATTCTTTTAAGAAATTGAGAGATGTATCTTTTATATATCCAAAAAGTTGAATAATAGTTGATAAAGGTACACAAAATACATGCTTCTATGAAGTGTGAAGACAGTTTGTATGCAAATACATACATGAAGATATATTTTTCCCAAGACAATGTCAGTTTATTCATATCACCTGGGTGTTAAATAACATCATATTATTTAAAATAACTGTGGTAAATATGAAGTCCAAAGACCACTGCCGATGTCCAT